AATTGTTGTTTGTTGTATAAATTTGTTTGAGGATTTTCTTTTCACGTGGAATATTTTCAGGTATTCTTTAGTATTTTCGGTTTCTTCTTTGCTAGGTTTTTCTTTTCTGTTATCTGATTTTATCTCTCTCTTTTAATGTTGTTTGTTTGAAGAATCTAATCCTCGTTTTTTTTCTTTTTCTTCTGTAATTTGTAAGTTTCCTTTGACAAGGCTTTTTTCCCCTTCATGAGAGTGTTTCGTGTGCACTAGGAGAAGGACTATAATGCATGTTTATTTTTGTTGTTTCTTCTGTAAAGCTACCAAGAAGACAATTTAGCACAGAATATGATTGATGATTGATTAGTTGTTGTTTCTTACTATGTTTGCCTATTTTAGCGACTCAGGGGAGCCACAAGTGGTCGTGCAGACTAAATGGACTATATTGGATGTTGAAGGAATTATTGTTTATGGATTTTGGAATCTTGTGTTTTTATTTTTGTAATGTGATATTTCTAATTTTGTGTATTTTCTTGTATTGAAAATTATGTGAATTTGACAAATTATTGCTTATAATCTAGCGTAACTTGACAGACTATAGATCATAGTCTAGCAGACTATGGATTATAGTCTGATAGACTATGACTAGCACCGGAGATTTAAGATCTACCGGCCGACGTAATCTATCAAACTATGGATCATAGCCTGCTAGACTATGGCCAACGCCGGCAACTAGGGACCGGCGGCCGGCATAACTTGTGAGACTATAGGTAATAGTCTGACATACTAAAGGAAATAGTCTGACAGATTATGGGATATAGCCTGACAGATTATAGGATATAGCCTGACATATTATGGATCATAGTCATAGTATGGCAAACTACGGATCATAATCTGACAGACTATGGATCATAGTCTGACAAACTATGTCTGGCTCTGACGTAACCTGTCAGACTATGGGTCATAGTATGACAGACTATGGTCAGCGAGTCACCGGTCACTTGAGACCCCGCTGTCGGCTACCGGAGACACATGCGGACGGCCACCGGAGACACATGCAAACGGTCACCGGCGACACGACGGACAACCGTCGGCCGTCGGAAACACCGCTGTCGCCCTTTGAAGACCCCACCAGAGACCGTTGCTAGCCGGCGATCGAAGAGAGCCAACATCTTATAAATACCTTTGAGGGTATTTTAATAATCTATATATTAAGCCTTTGATTGGGCTTATTCTAAAGGGGTAGAAATAAAAATGACTAATGTTTGGCGGTTAATAATAGTTTGGTGATCCATTTTAAAAGGTAATTGTAAAAATCTCTCGATAATTGTGTTGAAATAATAATTTAAAAAATCTACTCACGTGTCTATTTTCCAAAAATTACACTAAATAGCCGATTTTAAAATTAAATTAAACAAATGACAGATTTTAGAATATATTTAAAGTAAATAGCTATAAAAAGATTTTTTAGCTCGTAAATTTTTATTGACGACTGAATTACTTAGTAAAAAGATTTTTTATTACGAAATATTTTTTTTTACGATTAAAATACGTGCTAAAATTTTTTTTTACCACTTAAATTTTTAAATTTATTATTATTTGTTTTAAATATTTTTATAATATATTATTTACTTCAATTATTTATCGTGAATATGCTATTTACTTTATTCTCTCTTTATTTTCGGAATTTTCTATCTAATTTATTCTACGCTTTTTTTGTGTTACTATTATCTCCTCCACCGTTTGGACTTCACGCCGAGGATAAAAGCTGCAGTCGTTTAGTGAGATGTAGTTCCATCTTATTGGTTGCATGGGAGTCAAAACAAACATATTTTTAGTTTGGAATGAAGTCATTCAGAAGCGCTTTGGAAACGTTAGTTTTGTCGAAGAAGCACTTTGGAAATGGAAGTGCAGTCGGAAGAGTAAAGAATATATACGCAACTTGTTATGGAATTCAAGTGCCAGCCATGTCTTGAATCTTGAATACCTCAAAAAGGCTCAAAGCATCATCAATATTTTCGACATCCATGCAGTGCCCAAGGTTTTAATGATCACGATTAGCGTGCATTTAATTCCCAACGAAAAAAAAAAAGACTCAAAGTTCCATAAGAAACAGAGAAAAGAGTGACTGAAAATCCAATTCGCAGTGAAAATTAGCCAGATTAGTTTATGAGTTTAAATTAGATGATTTGAAATAAAATTTAAATTTTTGTAAAAAAGAAAAAAAATACTGTAATAAAATCATTTGAACTGAGTTGGAACTCTTCAATAAACATGCTCTTCACTAAACTTTGTTGCAGTTTAACAATCTTGCAGATTTCCTGTACTCAATCTATACATTTTGACTGTTATAGTGAATCTATATATTTGGCATTGTTCGTTTTGCATATTCAAGTTTTAATTCGAGCTGAGATGTAACATTTTTTTGAGAGTTTTTAACTGTGACAGAAAAAGTTAGATTTAACATTTTCTGAGAGCTTTTAACTATAAAAATTTAGAACTGAAAACTCGAATCGGTGAAATGAACGAGACCACTGTTACATTCACTGAAAATTGTGAGACTGAACATCACAATATTTATGGAAAAAATAAATTTAGTATTAACGTTCCAACCAAAATTGATAATCTGGTAGAGTTTTTTGATCCTAAAAGAAAAAAAAAAGAACAATGTCAGAAAGAAATTTGTAAAAAGATAAAACAAATATTGTTACTTTCACCAACGTCACGATGATTTGCACTTGTTTTATTTTATTGTTTTTGAAATATACAATTTTGACTCATCTATTGATAAATTCTTTAAAAAAAAAAAAAAAAAAAATTTAGCATAGGAAGTCATGCAAGGCTTTGAAAAGTTATAAATTATTGAAATAAAAAATATCTAAAAAATTATGCTAATAGAAAAAAAAAATCAGATTAGGATTGATCAGTACTATCTTTTTTCTTTTTCAAATATGCTTTTTTGTTTTTTTTTCCATTTTATTTCTCGTAAGATCCTTACGTGCCATAGTCGTTTCGAAAATATGTCTGAAAGTAGATAATTTTTCAACAAACGAATCAAAACTGTATATTAACATCATGGTAGTTAAAGCTCTAATTAAAAGTGACTGTCGGGGATCTAAAAAAGACATGCATATCGTAAATAAGCAGTAGTGAAATTTTCCTAAAGTTACTCAAAAGAAAATAATCCTAACAAAGTACTGAGTAATATCATTTCTAATATACACGCTAATTTCAGTTCTATATATGACATAAAAAAAGTGTGAAAATGAAATATTTAGAAGTTGTACAAGTTAACTTTTAATTTGAAAATACTAATGTTGTGATAACTTCTAATTTGAAAATACTAATGTTGTGATGAGCAAGTCAAAAAGTCAATACATTACCCAATAACAAATAAATATCATAATTTGGTATATGACATAGTTGGTGGCTTGGTACCAAATTTGTCATCAAATATAGCACTAAGAATAGCATTACATTCAAGTAATTTTTCTACTCAAATTTTAAAATTTAAAATTGAACACAATAATTTGACACGGCATTGAAAATGTTGTAAATGAGTGATAATTCAACAAGTAACATTAAAAAGGAACTCACCATCGCATGGTCTAAAAGATTAAAGAGACGTTTGGTTCATGAATTAAAATCATAAGATTAGAACCATTTTTAATTTACGTGTATTTTTTATGAGAAAAAATACTGTAACGAATCATTAACCATGATTCGAATCGGGGTACGAATCCCCCGACCAAACAACCCCTAATTTACTTGGTCTCTGTCGTAGGATTCACAACAAACAATCAAATGATCAATATGGCTTGAGCTCTGGTGATTTTAGATTCTCTAAATGCTAGTATATGAAAGTATGCCAAGTCGCGGCTGGGAACACCATTAATTACTTTTTTTTACTAGTAAACAAATAAATCTTGCACTCAAATCGAGTGCTTTTAACACTCATCAAAATAAAATAAAAGGCAAGAGCTCAAGTGAGATTAATAAGCATATCTCTGAGACCCTTCTTAAACAGTCAGACGGTCAAATCTCATTGTCATTACTTGTATGTCTACTACCCCTTTAGGTGACCACGTATCGCAGTAAGATATTCCAATTTTTGGTGCCAAAACGATCTCGTTTAGAAACGTGCGAATATTCTTCTTCATAGTACAAAATACCCTCCTTTGATTTGTCAACAAAATCATTAGTCACCGGAATTTGACCACAATCTATAATTTCCGTAAATTAAGAGACGTTTAGTTTATGTATTCAGAATTATTTTCATTTTACGTGTATTATTTTATAAAAAAAAAATACTATAAAGAATTATGAATCATGATTTAAAATGAAAGACGAATATAGAAAATAAACGTATAATTTTCAACTAAACAAAAGAAACCACCTGCCGACGGTATTTCCCGGTTCTTCTGCTTAAAAGACCAAAATTTACTTGCTAAAACAACGTCTTTGTATCAGAGTAAAATCACATAGTCCATTTGGCTAAAAAAAGTTTGGACTTTAAAGGAACTGCCACATATTTCATGTCAAGAGACATAAAAAAAAGTTTGGACTTTAAAGGAACTGCCACAAGTTTGGCAGTCCGGTTCATTTCGCTGATTCGAGTTTAGAATTCGAGTTTTGCTACAGTAAAAAGCTCTCAGAAACAGTCACATCTAACTTTTTGCTACAATAAAAACTCTCACATAACATCACATTTCAACTCGAATTAAAAACTTGAATTAGCGAACTGAATGAGAGTGAATCCCTGGAGTGAATTCCCCTCGGGGGTTATTTAAGTCTATACAATTTCTTTTTTCAAAATCACTGTGATAGAAATTGTCAGAGTTTTTATTTTCCAACATAATTCAATCCCAAGTTTTAGCATTCTTAATTATCTCACAAAGTTTTAAAGGCTCATTTATTTCATGTATTTAAACTCATAATTTTAATTCTGTTACAGTATTTTTTAATATATTAATTTAAATGCATCAACTAATCGGATCCTACAATGCTATTATAGAGAAAATTCAGAAAATTATACACGTTTATGATTTTATTAATCCGAGTCAATGTGGGATCTCAAATGAGATTTAATCCTCAAACCCACCCAAATTTCGCTTTAGACTTTAGAGCCTTACGTGAAAACCTCTTACTAATTAAACCATAACGTATATATATGTATGTATTGTATTGTGTACAATTAACCTTCTAGAAAATTGCAAAAACAGAGCAAAACCACTAATCAATTCCCAATCACGTCTCCTTATCTCTCAATTGCCCATGATTAATTATGTCCCTTCTCTTCCCTAAGCGCATCTTCTCCACATAAAACCTCAAAAACAACAACATCATAACCCCATTCAAAACCGAGTTTAAAACCCACGCGCCGATCCCATTGCACCCTCCCTTCAAGAAGTGCATCGCCAGAACTCCGACGTGGCAGGCCACGTGGCACCCGAGGAGGACGATCTGGCAGTTGACAACGAAAGGGAAATCACACGCGCTAGGCAATCCGACGGCGGTCCAGAAGCGATACCCGTAGACCGCGGAGTAGACGAGCGTGGTGGAAAGTATCGCGAGAACTTGAAAGGACTGCGAGAACTCGAGCCAGAGAAACGACATGAAAGTGAGGATGGAGTTGTTGAAGAGCTGGGAGAAGGCGAGCCTACGACGTCGTACGATGGCGAAGAAGGTGCGGAACATGTGGAGGAAGCGGGAGAGGTAGAAGACGTAGGACCAGAAGAAGACCCGACCGGAGGGGCGGGGCCCGAGGGGGAGGCAGAGGAGCCATTGGAAGGGGGTCTTGGAACGCCGCCAGAACCAGCGGGTGTCGCGGATCTCTGCGGCGGCGGAGAGGAGGATTCCGGCGAAGATGGTGACGGAGATGAGGGCCATCGAGAGGCTGTGGAGGGCGGAGAGGGGGCCGAGGTGGAAGGGTCGGGTGCGGAGGAGGCGGATGGCGGCGGAGAGGAGGAGGGATAGGGTAAGGTAGAGGGAGATTGAGGTGAAGAGGAATGACCACGTGGAGCCCCATGATTGGGTGTGGCTCCACCGGAACCCCACTATTGATGGGTGCTCCGACAGCCAGAATGTCGCCGCGTTCACCATCTCCTCCGCCGCTGCCACCGCCAAGATCAGTTTTTGTTTGGTAAAAAAATCTAGAGAGAGAAAGAGAAGGGGAGAGAGAGACGGGGAGCAACTGGGAATTAGGCGGAGAGGAGCTGGAGAGGCGACTAAATTAGGGGAACGCGAATGTCTGGTGAGAGAGAATGAAGCCATGGAAAAAATAAAGGTCATTTTATTGGACACGTGTCGAATTGATATTGGACATTCGGGGTGTTGTGTTCACATGTGTAGAGTGTGTGAGTATTACGTCGCCACTTTTCTATTAGTGAGTCAAAATCAATACAATTTGGAGAAAATTATATTGACGGTGGCCGAAAACGACAAATTACGAGTCTCGTGGTAGGTTAAGGTTATTATAAGTTTACGCATAATAAAAATGAGTAATGATAATAATCAATTAATTTATTATTTATAGGTGCCACCATTTTATGGTAATCAGAAAACATCTGAATGATTAGCTGAGAATATTTCTATTGTCTACATTTCATGATGTCAATAATTTAAAAAAAAATTGGTGGGAAAAATAATTTGTTTAGAGCAATTTTAATGCAGTGTTATAATTAATGTGTTAATTATAAATTTATTATTTATAGGTGCCATCATTTTATAGTAATCAGAAAACATCTGAATGATTAGCTGAGAATATTTCTATTGTCTACATTTCATGATGTCAATAATTTAAAAAAAAAAATTGGTGGGAAAAATAATTTATTTAGAGCAACTCTAATGCAGTGTTAAAATTAATGTGTCAATTATAAATTTAATATTTAAGTATAAAAAATACTCTTTAATGCAGTATTATCTGTTGTGTTAAATTTTTTATATGTTATATTTTGTGATAAATTTCTCACTAAATATAGTATATGGAGAATTTGACATTTAATATTATTAATTAGATGTTTACTTTCTCATATAATCATTATAATTTTTATAGTTTCTAAATTATTTTTAAAAAAATTTACTTTGCAACTTTCAAAGTTTAATGATTATGAAAAAAAAAAAAAAATTTAACGTTTCAAATAGTATTACGCATTGGAATAAAAATAAAAATAATGTTATTATATTATACTTTTTGATGTTAAAAATACAATTTGTATATAGAAAATAGTCTTAATCAAAAGAAAGAGAATAAAATAAAGAATTATTTACGTAATAGCCCTGTGGAGGCTGACGATTATAAATTTGGAGGAAGAAGGGAATAATTCTAGTTTTAAATTAGAGTCCAAATCAACAAACAATAACAAACAGAAAATACCACCAACGTCACTGTGGACCAAACAACTGAAACAATTATTGACATTGCATATGATGCACTACATGAGAGATATCCATATTTTATTTACTTTTCAAAGTAAGTGTTTCTGGTCAGTTGGTATTTCGTCAAAAGGAGAAAAAGTTGGACTAAGATTTCGCCAATAAAAGAACCACACTCGCTTAGCACGCTTGTTGATTTTTTTGTTTTTGTTTTTTACTCTACACATGTTGAATTTTTGAATTTTTAATTTCGTCGTTTCTAACATTGTAAATTTGTCACGCGTCAAACCAATAGGGGACGTTACTCTTTTTTTTTTTTGTTTCCCCTCGGTGAATTTGAATTTGTGCTTGATAAATTCCTTCATTTCGTTGATTCGAGTTTAGAATTTGAGTTTTTCTATAGTAAAAAGCTCTCACAAACAATCACATCTAACTTTTTTACTACATTAAAAAGCTCTCACATAAAATCACATCTCAACTCGAATTTTAAACTCGAATCAGCGAAGTGAACGGAGCAAGAGTCGAAGATTAAATTCAGTCAGCAAGTAGCCATTGCTTTTATGCTTGAACATGTCAAACTCTAATTAGAGGATGATAGAAAATATAGAATTAGACAAAAAAAAAAAAAATTGCAAACTCGTATTATTTTCATTAGATGCTCGAGTAGGATTTTCAACTATCAATTAACATAAAAGCAAATCACTGTACGGAATAAAACCCCAAAAAATCTCAACCACTTAATAATTAGTGCGCTGTAAAACGTAGCCCAACCGGCCCGTGGTGCGCTTCTTACGGCGATGGCAGCGTCTCTTTCCAGTGACTATGCCACTGGAGCATGCTCCTCACATATTGTCAATTGGCGGCGCCTCTTTGACTCTATTGCATTTCTCTCTCGAAGTCTTCCTCAACAGTTTCTCGGCAGTTGCCCCTTCATTGAAGGCTTTTGATCACCGGAGATTTTATTTAAGTTTTTATGTGTGTTTTTGTTTGTATAGTTATGGTGTTTTTTATCCATTTTGTTTGTCTTTGGTTAGTTTTGTAATATTAGTTTCTACTGCTTGTCCACTTGATTTGTTTTATGATGGTGTTTGGTGTATGAACTTGATGCTAGGGGCCTCTCGATTTCAGTCGATCAATTTGTTCATCAATTGTAGATATGTGTACTCGTTATTTTATGTAATCTTCTTGAATGTCTGACTATAAAACTCAATAAAATATATTTTAAGCGTTTCATTCGAACTTATTAATGAATACCATTGTTTATCGTGATTACAATTTTCTTGTAGTTTGCAGCTTTTGAGTTAGAATTGCTCTTTATATTTCCATGAATCGCATATATTTTCTCATTTAAAAGAAAAATCAAGAAAAGGATTAATCTAATGATTAATCTCTTTTTCTTCCCACTATTTGTTGAGCATGCATAGCCTGACTCATTCTCAGTACTACACTGTAATAATTAAGCGTGCAATTAGAAATGCGGGATTTTGATTTTTTTTTTTCAGTTGTTTGGTTAAATGGAAAACAAATTTGGAACGAAAAATAGCTCATTAATTCGTATAAAACTTGATATCAATAAATAATAATTCTCTTTCTTTATGATATTAAATAATAATTTTCGTTCGATGATGACGACATATTATCCTAATTTGTTTAAAATTAGGGTGTCGGTTCTTAATTACCTTGAAAACTTTCTGTATATAAGTATTTAACATATTTTATCCTTCGCTTCTTTTCGCGTCAGATGATTCATCACCAATGTAGATAGGTCGCTAATATTTATAAACTATAATATATATATATATATATTTGTTAGGTCAAATCATTTTGTAAAAGATAGAAGTCGGTTCATCATTATTGTCTAATAGCGGCATTGAGAGATCACAAACCCGATCATGAGAGAATAATTTATTTATTCAATATTAAATTAAGGATGTGTTCATTTAATAATTTTAATACATTTAAAAATTTTTATAAAAAATTATATCTAAATTTTTTTATTATAGTGAAAAATTATCACATAAAATCACATCTTAAAATTTAAATTCACGAACTGAATGAAACATAAATTTTGCTTGAGACGGCATTCATGCGCAGATAAAAATATTTCATTATGACAATGAATGTGCGTATATTATGTCCCATGCCAAAATAAAATATTGCTAAAATCATATACGAAAATATCTCTTCATTAGACTCTGATTTTAGCCAGGTTGGAAAGGGGAGGAGGGGGTTGCTTCGTTTATTTCTTTCTTTTAATCAGAAAGTAAATACCAGTATTTATTTCCGTCAAATTCTTTTCTAATTGGCAGGATAATTCTCTTCTTATGTGGGTCTCATTTTTTTTTTTTTTTTTTTTTTTCCATCAACTTTCCTAATCTTAGAATAATAGGCTGCGTCTAGGCTATTTCATTCTTGAGAGCAACACACACTTACACTACAAGCAGGAGGGGAAAGATGTCGGGGTTTAAGTATAACCTTCGAATAAAAACATCTAAAATGGCACTTTTAGCTACACCCCTTAGACATCACTTTTCGAGTGACATCTAAAGCTTTTAAATAATTATTTATTAGTGGTGATTGAACCTTAATCATACTTATTTTAGGAAAAATAGAATTACAAACAACCAAAGTCAAACAGAAACAAGATTAGAAACCTAATTAGGAGATTGGACATTGAACAAGAAGAAACGCTAGAAAGACCCTTCACCAGCAGCGAATACTATTAGAGCGACGAGGGAAAAAACGACATGTAATCACTCATGTTAGAAGAATGTCGTTAATGTCAACAATGAGAGAACCAGCAATCCCTAGAACCGACTTGGACTTGACAACAACCACTACAAGAATCAGGCTTTTTAGCAACGAAAGATTCAACAATGACATTAATGTTTTGTGGTCAATAAAAATAATGCATTACTAGCAACATTGTGCCGTTGAGATGTATTATTTGTCGCCTATAAAAATAGGTGATCAACTAGTAGTTTGAGAAGATTCGATTATTGTGAAAACTTACAACTAAATGGTGTGAACGGCGATGGCCTTAATTAGTGCAGAGTCAGAAATTTATTTCAACAGTTATAGATTAAAAAATATTTTAATGGCGTGTTTATTAAAGCGTAAAAGAATGTAATAGGAAAGGTATTGAAATTGAAAATAAAAGTAAGGTAATATGATTAACTATTAAGGGTTATTCATTCTCTTTCGTGTGTTTATTTGACTATTAGATGGTGTAATGAGAAATAACCATATTGCTTTTCTTATATTTACTAAAATTAGGAACAATAATTTTATAAATGTAATCACTAAGGGCATGTTTGATGCACTGTATTATATTGTATTGTATTGTATAATTTTTATATAATACAGTGTTTGGTTTGTAGTAATTTACATTATACTATGCTTACCATTATATTGTATTTACATATTAGTTTGTAATTGGATAAAATTTAAGTCTAATCATAATATAGCTCGGCTCCAATCTCAATCCAAACCTAACATTGGGAGGGGGAAATGAAGAAGGTAAAATTGTTCAACATGGATATTTTTGTTATAAAATTTTAAAAAGGGGGTAAAATTGAATTTTTTTTTAAAAATTGAGGGGCAAAATTATAATTTTAAAAAAGTTAAGGGGTCAAAATATAATTTTTAAAAATTTGAGAGTTCAAAATATAATTTTAAAAATTAAGGGGTAAAGTGTAATTTTTGAAAAGTGTAGACCCAAAATCTCTTCGAGCTCGAAATTTAACCTCAACGTCGGTCCCGAAACCCGATCCTGGTCCTTGATGTTTGTAAAATATTTTATATGTTTTGTAAAGTTAAATAGCATAATATGATTTAATACATAGGTTTTTATTCGTATTAGATATCACACCATCTATTGTATTAAATTTGAATTTCGTATTAAACTATACAATGCATGAAATGTTGCTAAACATTGTATTATTCTTAAATAATACAATACAGAGTATTTATAAGGTGTGTCAAATATGCTTTAAAATGTTCTTTTAAACAATTAAATAATCATTGATTGTATAGTCATTTATTAAGAGTAGATAAGTAAATTTAACATTCATTATTTTTTATAAGAAATCAATACTAGGGGATGCAAGGATTGATATTCTCTTTTCTCATTTCTATATCGTGTATCTCAATTACTAATTTTATAAGTAAACACATTATTTTATGAGAAACTGTTTCCCTTTGATACAAAGTAAATATACCCTAAATGTATATAAAGACGAAAATCTCAATATCAACTTTTAAGTTCATGCATTATCAATGTTTTGTTTTTTTTTTTTTTTTGGCATATCATGTACTCTTTTGACTTTTTAGATATGTACCAATAGTGGGTGTGCGTGTTAGTTCTTAACTAAATGAAGGTAATCTATAAAAGTTATAATCATTCTACCTTTTTAAAAAAAAAAAAATTTTTTTTTTTTTTTTTTTTTTTTAGTTCAGGTGGAGTATAAAGAAAAGTATAAAACCTACCTCATATCATTTGGTTCCAAATATATTGTTTGTATTTTCTTAATTTGTTCACTAATTCGTAGTCATATGATATATTTTGCTATCTCCTTGACTTTTATGATTATACTCTTTACAGTCTTGAGGCTGCAACACTATTTTTTTTTCTCTCTAAAGATTTTGTTTGTTTAATATTTAGAATTTGGCATACAATTTAATGGATATAATACTTGTGTAGTTGGCCTTTTTATTATAATATTTGAGTTTTAATGAGGGGGAAAATAGTAGAAAAAATGCACACATACGTACATATATATATATGTGTAGAGAGAGAAAGTCTACAGTACTTTCCTTCTATCAATAGGGTATGGTAAAAGAACCATAATGTGAATATGATAATAGGAAGAGAAGAAAAAGTACCAAATTAAATTAAGGCCTCCCACACTGGATTATAAGATTTATTCTAAAAAAAAAAAAATCTTAAAAAACTAGATCTTTCCTATTATCACCTTCAACCACTTGTTGCCAACAAACTCCTCCACCACATCCGGCGAGCTCCACCGTCTACAAACAAAATGGAGGCGAAATATCCTAAACGAAGAAACCCTTGCAAGGATCCTATTTAACATTTCCTTGGGCAACATTGCCCATCGTATTGGGATTTTCCCAATCCGTTACCACTAAAACTTTTTCCAATGCAATCTAATATAAAATTATCGGATTTCACATATTGAATTGACGGATTTTATGAATTTAAACCTTTAAGATTAATGAGTTCTTCTTATATATTAGACGTCCACACAACCAATACAAAATAAAGTCTTTATCATTCATGAACATTACTTTAAAGTTCAAAGTTTGCAACATTTACATCCCAAATAAACATAAAATGACATAAAATAGTTCAATAAATTCTAAATTGCTACAGCTCAATTAACAATGACAAACTAAATAAACATAGCATCACATATGGGATTAGTACTAAATTTGGGTAATCAGAAAACAAATTACAATATTACATATATAAAGTTCTTTTTAAAAAATAAAAATTAACTAAAACAATTTACAAAAGATATATACTATATATATAATTCGGATTCATAGATTTTACATATTGAGAAATGATCAATCTGTAAGTCAATCCAAAACTTCTTTGCTAATCTAAGACCTCTATCAATTCAATCTAATGCACCAGATTGGATTTACGGATTAGGTGAATTTATATTTCAAAAATAGTAGAAAATATGCCAATATAAAAAGCTTAAAAAAGTATATAGGTCAACTTTTAGTTATAAAAATTAATAGGTCATAACTTGTCAAGTTATGGTTCATAACCAGATAAGTTATGGACAAACATGTCAAGTTATGGTTTATAGCCAGAAAAGTCATGGACAAAAACCGTAAATTATGGACAATAACTTGTCAAGTTATGGTTAATAACCAAATAAATTATGGATAAAAATAATAATTTAACCTATTTATTAACTTATGTAAACTATTAACCTATTAATTTTAATTCATCTCAACTCTTGACCTATTTCTCTCTTTCTCCCTTTAGGGGGCGTTTGGTATGCAGGAATCAGTAGGAATCATATTTCCGGGAAAGTGATGGAGGGTAATATGATTCCTAGGAGTAATACATTACTATGTTTGGTTCTATACATGAATCTTTCTCAAATTTCTAAGAATATGACATTACTGTGTTTGGTTGTGCATAGAAATGTTGTTAAATAAATTATAATTAGCACTAATATTTTAAAAAGTATAAAATGCACGCAACAAAGTAGTTCATAAAATCATCGTATTTAAACTAAATAAGTAAACTTAACATCATTTATCACTAAAAAAAATAATAATAAAAAACAGAATATGATAAATGATGTTTTCACACAATATTATTGTGTAAAAACTGAACCACTTCATTCACACACAAAAAAAATCACAAAACCAACTAGATCTAGTCCAAACAAATTCACGTTCATCAGTCTTATTCTCCGGCCGAACCACGTCTTCTCCGGCGAAGTCTTCCTCTTCGGTCGAATCACGTCTTCTCTGGCCAAGTCTCTCTCTCTCCGGCCTTCGTCTCCCTATGCTTCCTCCTCCGCCACCTCAACCGCCGTTGTCTCCGTCACATCTCGCCGTTATCGTCATCCTCTTCTCCTTCCTCCTCCACCGCCGCCGCCGTCGTCCATGTTGTTGTCTTCGCAAGCGATGTGTTGGTTTCACGACAGCGAGGTGAGATGCTGGGTTTTGCGAAGGAGGCCGGCGCGGTGTTGGTTTCACGACGGAGGCCGACGAGGTGTTGGATTTCACGTGAAGGAAGACATCGAGATGCTAGTTTCGTGACGAAGGCCGACAGTGGTTGGGCTGAGTGACGGCGGCTGGCACGGGGCGTGGCTAGTCGGTGGCTGTGGTGGTCTAGTTGTGATGGTCGCTATTGGCTTATGTGAAATTCCCACGTTTAGTTAGATTTCTGGGCATTTGACTATCACCATGTTGGGTGGGTTTAAGATTACCTTAAAATGTGGTAATATAAAATTTATAGACTTTACTTTTTTAAATTTTAAAAAAATCTAATAATTATACCAAATATGAGAATCTAAAAGATTCTAATTCTTATCTCTGTGATTACCCTATACAAAACGTCCCTTTATAATTTCTCCACGGCCTACACCTTCCCTTAGTCTGATCCGATTCCTAAGGCCTATCGGGCCTACACGGACAAGCCCAGAATAATAAATCAGACTAATGGTAATAGTCGTACGAGGCTCGCTATTACAAGACACGAAATGGCAAATAATCCAGGCCGTTGGATTTATTGTAAGAGACGCAAATAAACGGTACGACGAAGTTGCATCAGGCGGTAAGACTTAAATACGCGAAGGAAAAGGGGAAAAAAAAATATCGGAAAAACCTAGAAACTTCCACAGGAGTTTTTGGGTTCGAGTATTTTTTTTTTAACAAATTCATGATGGTTGATTTCCAAACAAGCGTGTCGGTTTGGTAATTCAGATAATTTTTCGTTTCGTTTGGATCTCAACATCGAGTCTTCGACAGATTTCTTAAGAGGTTTGTGGAATTTCTATGTTTTCGTTTCTTAATTCGAGGAATCTCGTAGATTTCCTTGATTTCTCTGTTGCTAATTTTTTTTTTCTATTTTTTGTGTATGTATTTTGTTGGATTGTGTCTGCATGAGCATGTATTGTTGATTATGGATTATAATTGGAATTTTTTGGGGGTCAATTTTCTCCTCGGAATTCTTGGAATCGATGTTTTGATTTTTGCAATTTGGTTATCTTTTTCCTGTCTTGATTGCGAAAGTTCGGGATTTTTATCTTCGACAGATTATAAATGATCAATTTGATGTGTGTGTGTGTGTGTGTTTTTTTTTTTTTTTTTAGGATTTGATAATCTGTGGATTTGATTTGAAAGTTTCGGAATTATCAGATTGTTTAGTGCCATTCCTTGTTTTCTTGTAATCTTGATTATCCGTTTAGGGATTCTGAATTGCGTTGATATTAGCAATTTTAATGTACATTTTTGTTTTGGATATGTTGTTCCATGACGTTAGTAATTGTAGATTTTATGAATTACAGGCAAAATTGATCTTGAAAACTTCTAGGGTTACTTTGAGAGATGGCAAGTGGGTTTGGGGAATCAACAAGCGTACCACCCCAAAGCCCTTCTTGCTCGGGAAATGGCGTGAACGACGCCGGTGATTTCGAATGCAACATTTGCTTCGAACTAGCTCAGGATCCGATTGTCACTCTTTGCGGACACCTCTTTTGCTGGCCGTGTCTCTACAGATGGCTCCACCATCACTCACATTCCCAGGAATGCCCGGTTTGCAAGGCTCTCATACAAGAGGAGAAGTTGGTGCCCCTTTATGGCAGGGGCAAAACGCAGTCTGATCCGAGATCCAAATCGTATCCGGGCATTGAAATTCCTCATCGCCCCACGGGGCAGAGGCCGCAAACCGCTCCTCCCCCGGAGCCGAATCAGTTTACCAATTATGGGTTTGGATTCATGGGAGGATTTGTTCCCATGGCCACTGCAAGGATTGGCAACTTCACCTTGTCTACTGCTTTTGGTGGTTTGATACCATCTTTATTTAACATACAGTTTCATGGTTTCCCGGATGCTACTGTCTATGGAACAACTTCTGGTTTTCCTTACGGATTCCACTCTTTTCATGGAGGCCATGCTCACGGTTTTCCACAGCCTTCAAGTCGCGGCCATCAGGCAGATAATGTTTTGAAGAACCTCCTTTTGGTGATTGGTGTGTTTGTGATCCTTGCACTGCTTTGTTGGTAGAGCTTCTGTGCCGTTCGGAGTCATATCCATGGTGGTATTTAGACACTCTCCCTCTTGTAAATACATTAGCTTGGTGGTTAACTACTCGTGCTTCCAAAGTGTTTCTACTTTGTTTTTTTTTTTTTTTATTCAATTGTGTTTTTAATGAGTATCTGCAAGGAAACAATGTTTTCGTAATAAATGATTTGCAAAGTTTCCACTTTCTAGCCGCTTTCCAATACTTCCTTTGTGATTTTGTGATTTGGATTCTGTTCCATTGGTATTTTTAATTTCTTTTTTCATGTTCAGTTTAGCTTCATCGTTTTCTTACACTTTGCATCTATTTGCAAAGTGCTCACAAAGGCAAGGTAAATTTACCGATTCTTTGTGGTACATGTTCAAACAACAAAGCACTTGTTTCTCTGCATTCTACTAATTCCAAGTTGTGTCCTCGCCGTGCTTGATTACTCTAGGCCATAATTTTGGTAGGTAGAAACTTAGAAATGAGTTATTAGCTGCTAGCCAACTACCAACTAGATATCTAATTATTTGAGTCAATAATAAAATGACTATTACATTATCATCATTTATTTGCCAAAGATGATGGATATTTTAGGATCTTCCTTCATTGAGTGTGGACCGTGGATGTAATCGTGTATACATCGTGCTTTGTAAGGCGTGATGATTTAAAGCATTGATGGTTTCTTATATCTAACTCCCCACCCACCCACACTCACTTTTTTTAAAGATATTTTTGGGCAATTAATATGTTTAGAGTATCTCCAGTGCAGTGCAGTGCCAAACTAACATGTTAATGTCGAGTTTTAGCATTTGAATTGAAAAACTACTCTAAATGCAATTGTATTTTTTTTGCCAAATATGGCAATATTGTGTTTTGTACCAAATTTGGCCGGTGTCAAATTTCACATTTTATTTTATTGCTATTTTGGTTGATGTATTCACTTTTTTATTCAATCAATCATATCCTTTTTATTTCTTAAATAATTAAAAGTTTACTTTTATGAATTTTAAAGTTTGATAATTACGAAAAAAAGGTAGATATATTATTTGAGATGACATATTGCATTGATTAATAAATACAATATCATGTTAAATGTCATTTTCAGTTTTTTACGCTGTGTAAAATGTAACATTGACGATATGCATTTATGATATTTTGAATTATCTGTTGCGCAACTTCTTAAGCTTAGAGATTAGCTGATTTAGGAGAAAAAACTTTGGCTAGCGGTAGAGTTGAAACTGCAATGAGGACCATAGGAAACGAGGCACAAGAAATTGGGAAAAGATGAAAGAGAAGGAAAATATTAGGAAACTTGAGAACTATCACTTTGAAGTTTTAGCTAGATGGGTTTTGCTTGGAAATAAAACAATTAGATTAGAGTGTTTTCGTTTTCAATAGCTATTCTTTGACATGTCCTTGTCCATAACGAAAGCTGTGCTTTATGAATTTGGACCAAATGATGATTGCACGGCGATGTCTTCAAAACGTATTGATTGCCTGCAATTGTCACTCGTTTTTTTCACTTCGGAAAATCGCTCCGTCACTTGTCGATCATGTGGGCCTGAACCGACAGAGATTTTCCCATTTTTATTGGAGTAATCTTAACAAATATCCTTTAAATGTATATCAGTCATGATTTTTATTTTTTATTTTTAATTCATAATCTTTTTAATCAAATAATTATACTAATAAAATAGTATATATCGAGAGTAAGCGGTAAAAATCTAGACTCATACACTCTCAAAAGTAAAGTCTCCATTTTTTTTATTGACATTAGAAAAGGTTGAGGCCCTAGTCTGATGCCTTGTTTACCTGTCAAAAAATAGAGAATTTACTCTTAAAATATATAAGTCTAGAGAATTTACTCTTAAAATATATAAGTTTAAATTTTTACTTCTTATTCTTGATAATTACCCCTTTTGTTACTGTAATTTTCTGATTAAAAAAGTTATGAATCAAGATTTAAGAGTAAAAATCTTAATCTATATATTTTTAAAATATTTGTTAAGATTATCCATACTTGTGTGTCATCTCGGCCTATATTAGGCCCAGCTTGAAGTCTAATTAGTCGCTCATACCTGTTGCATATGCATCAAGAGAAGTATAGCAAACGTCATTTCATAAAAATAATTCCGATAAATAGTATATTTTAAGATTTATTTATGATAGCATATTAAGGTAAATGATTTACATACGAATTAAATTTATAAAGTAAATTTATGCTTTGGAAATAAGTGCTTAGTGCAAATATGTTTAGCAATAATATTTTAAAATATGATTTTTATCAAAAACGTTGTTAGAAAAATTTATCTAACCCTCTCTCCGGTGTGTCAAAGATGAAACTGGTTCCTTTAAATATATTTAGGGATGATATTTTTATCTATGAGCGGTACCAGTGGGGTACCCGCCCCTAATAGAGTGGGTATGATTAGGGGCGGGTATGAGTGATGGTATATGTGGATTGGGGCGGGTATGAGAGTAAAAATTAACTCCCGGTTTAGAGTCCCCACCCGGTTTACATATCTTTCTACATATATTTGAGTTTGGATTTAGTTTTGAGATTTTGATTTGTTATTATTAGAATTTAGATTTGGCATTAAGATTTCAATTTATTTTTATGAGATAAGTGCTTATGTTGTTGAATTTTCTAATTAATTTTATAGAATTATCTTTGAGGTTTGATAATGTTGGAAGCATTTTTTAAGCTCTTAATAAGTAAATAGGTAGGATATAGAGATAGCCCTTCGGTGGAAATTCTCCGACTCCGACCCTGCTTTAAATTAGATAAATATGAAAGCGGATTTCGAGGCTAAAATAGGAATAAAGTATGAAGTTAGAAGAAGTATACCCGACCCATCTCGCCCCGTTGCCATCTCTAAATATGTTGACTCGTTCTCTATAGATCTTAAAGTAATACTTGTTTTGGTTCACCCGTTCCTTAAGACCTAGAACTCTATTTTATTCAACTTGGTAATGAAAATCTCGTCTCCTATTAATGTAGTTGAGATATTTGGGAAAACATTGCTTCCCCAAGAAAGAGGGCACTACGAGAATCTTGATGAAGTTCCTCACTTCAAGAGGTTTGGCTCTAGCATAGGCCAGGGGACGTCGATTAATATAACACGAGGGTACTAATAATTTTGTTGGTGTTCTTTCATTTTCAATCAAAATCTGTTTGGTTTTTGAATTTCTTTTGCCGGTTTCTAATAGGAGGAGCTAAAGCAAAGGGAAAAAAGATTAAAAGAAAAAAAACACACACAAATCAGCAAGACAGCAACTATAAAAATCACAAGAAATGTTCAGCATCAATAAATGAATATCGCTACATAACAAAAAATATACAAATACACACGTCGGTACTTCCAAATAGAGATAAACTTTTTTTTTTTTTTTTTTTTTCTACTCGTATGTTTTATCAAAATTCAAAGCAAAAGCATCAAGGACGGAAAATATTTTTGGATTCCAAAATCGGAATCATTGATCTGTAAGACGCCCATGTGGTCATAACAAATCGAGGCTTCTCATCATCAACAAATATATATTTTTTGGAATATTCGGCCTGCAGCTTGCATGAAAATAACGACAGGAAGTTTCAGAAAATGAAAAACGACACGCCGGTCAATTTGTATCTGTTTTATACGTCTTACTTTATTTTGACACCTAAAACAGAAATCATTGATCTCACGTGGCTATTATATGTTTATTCTTTTTTATATTTGTCAAATGAAAAACGTGGGTGAAAACACTTATATACTTTATTAGCCTTTTGCTGCAATACATTGGTCACTCTTTTGTCGTCTTCTTATATGCTTAAAATGCCAATTTGTGAATCCTCAATGACCTTAAAAGAAGTGTTAATATCATCAAGTTCTGACTTAATTATTCCTGGTGGTAACCTTCGCTGTTCCTTTGTGGAGTTGTTCTTATAAAGATTTTCCAAATTGTTTGTTAAGCTTATTCACGTATTTTGGAAATAACTAATTATTATTATCATTTTGCTAATGGAATCTTTATCAACTTTTCTCTTATTATATACATGTCCAATAATTGTCATAAAATCTGTAACTTGTACTTTCTTATACAATATTATGTACTTAGTTATATAATTAACTAAGAAGTATGAAATTAAACGTTTTCTACTTGGCTAGATAAAAAGCCAGAGCATAGTTGCCCAATGATATTTATGGTTCAAATGCAATGCATATTTTGAACATTTTTTTTCCTTTGGGTAGAAGGCGAAAAAAAAAAAAACCATATGTATAGGTTTGAACACATGCTGAGTATGGGCAAGTGTATGGCTGAACTCATCATCTATATTCCACATGATTACAGGCTATGGCCTGCTTAGCTTAGGGCTTCCTGCACCTGCCTTGCCGGGAGTACTTAGTATTTCAATTAAAAAAAAATGGAACTATTTAAGAATAATGTTGAAATTATATGTTAAATTACGTTTGGTTATTTTTCTTAAAAATAGTGTTTAGGTATGTTTCTGAAAACGTGTATAAAGTAATGGTCTTAGAAAATGAAAAACGGAAATGTGAAAACAATTGTCAACCATTTTATGTTTGTTTAACAAAATTCATTCTCGCTACCTTTTTGTTTTTGTTCTCGTTTTTAAAACGGTTACTAATCAAACGCTGCTAAAAAATTATTTTTGTTTTCGTACCTCAAAAGACATACATGAACGTTTTCAAAGACAATTAAAAATGACATCAAAGGCGTGAAAATTTCTCTCTTTATTTGTATAGAAAACTCTAAACAATATATATATATATATATATATATATATAACCCTATTAATAAAATAGGGTTATGAACTCTAGGCTGCATCAGAATTATATTAAATTAAAAAGAGTACGATAATTTAAGAGAACTCATAATAAAAATCTAATGATTCGAAACTGTATTTATTAGTGAGACTTTTTCCTTTTTTTTTTAGATGCATGCTCTTCTCGACGTATTTTCAAAGAACTTGGTTTCTAATAGTAAGTCAATATTCCACTTTGTTATCTATCTATCCCCCAATAAAAACCAAGGCTTTTAAGATATTGTTAATAATTGCAGGCGAAGCCAAATCTGTTTGAATTTCGTGTTGCAACTACCATTTCTAATGGTTTTTTGTGCTTAATTACCTGTGTGAGGAAAACTAGTGGCATGTAAGTTTGCTATTTTGCCAAACATACCGTGTAAGTCTATTTTGACCGG